GTCGCTGAATATATGCCACGCAGGAATTTTTTCACTAGTAACATTGTTGAATTAACTTCAAACTCGAGCACAAACCTGAGCGTATTTGTGGATTTGCAAAACTTTTCCGGGCGAACAGAAGTTGAAAATCATAGAAATACACTTTAACACAAGCAGAGTCACATACATGTAGAGCCGCGTTATCATACTTTGAAAAACTAAAGTATATGTATAATAGGAGCGAACATCAGAAAGCCGAATCCAACCCGACCTGCTAACTCATCCCTCATTACCGTCTGAATCCTATTTCATTACTCCTTCTGCCTCAGTATCGTTGTCAGTTAACGGTAAGAGAATCGGCCGGAAAATAAGCGAACGTTCACCGAGAAACCTTTGGAATAAGAACAAGACGAAACACTGTGAATTATAGATAGACGGTGGCCGGAGCAGGAATTTTTTTACGCATTTTAACGAGCAATTTTTCAATTGATTTGTTACAATAAGAAAGCATTTAAATATAGGTTCCAAACTAAAGTAAAATTCCACTCTTCATTCGCAGAAGGTCACAAAGCCTTTCTGTGAGGTTTTTCCCGCTGCTTAAAAGGTTTCAAATGCGAATATGCAAGTGAGAGCAGTATTACTCCTTCTGCTTTGAAAAAAAGGGAGTTACTTCGTTTGAAGGGAATATTAGTATCAACAGCCGCTAGTGTTTGAGTGTTTCCAAAGTGTCATTCAGTGTAACGAATTTCAAGGATTGGATACATTTCTTGTCTGCAGGTTCCTGGTGATCCCAACCGCAAAGTCTTATACCGGGAAAAAATCAGACAATCCCAACAGCGACAAAGGAATATGAGGCGCCAGTCAATGAATCCCGACCCGCGATAAGTTCCTTTATGCTACACTTACAAGTTAATGGCATCTCGATTGTTAGAGCATTGTATCCCATTTCGGAACAAGACCAAGATGCCTCGCTCAGAGAATCTCGGGTACGGTGACCTGTCAAGTGCTTCTTCATGGTCCAAAAACGTGGCAAATTATGATTAACGTTAACCATGGGGACAATCTCGCCTTTCAGTGATGCGTCTGTTGAACCTTTACAGCCTTGCCCACGCAACCAGAGACTTTGTAATTCGTTTCACTTGGGTTGTTTTGTCGCCCAGTATCGTACTCACGTCCTTTTCGGAACCGTTCCGACTACCATTGTGACTGTAGTGAGCTGAAAACTAATGTCCATACGCACGGCCATTCTACGATGAATCTCGATCAACTTCACCCCTTCAGCTCTCAGAAAAGCACAACCCTCGCTTTGGTGGACGAATTCGGGCACTCTCCGAACCAAAAGATGACGAAGTTTTCCAGTACAGAACTAAGATGGACAGGGTACTGTCCACAAAAATGCGCCTGTTTCGACGTCTAGCATAGGGTGAATATCGAGATGATTGACCATATTTCTGCAGGCGCAGAAATCCCATTGGTCATACCAGAGCTGGAACAAGGAAGGCAAATTTACAACAAAAGACTGCAGATTAAATTGTACGAGTATTGTTAATACTGTTTTTTTTTTGAAGTGTTTGGTTAATGAGAGAATGATGCGACTAGGAATCATCACCATTGGGTCTCTGCTGGCCGTTTTCTGAATATGCTTTTAACAACCACCATTGCATTTACAGCTACGCGTTGTTACATTTCGTTGGCCAATTTGTAGCAATAGGTGGTGTCGGTTGTTTACATGTGATGAGTCAGCATCACAGAATTTTAGCTTATTCACCGGGAGCACTTGCTCTTTCGGCAAGCGCGCAACGTGTCCAAATGAAACACTTTCTGAATTAAATAAGCCTTATTATAACATGCTCGTAATCCTATTAAAGAGAGATTGCGTGAATTTTAGATTGGAATTAAACAAAACAATGCACGACATATTAAGTAAGTACCGTATCGAGAGTATCCGCGACTATTTCTTTAATATACGATTGCGCGAGTTCGGTAACCAATCAACACTTGACGCCGACACCACGTCTTTCTTCTCTACTTGACAACAAACAGAAACATAAACATTTTCCAATCTAAAAATCTCCGCATTGCAAGTCCCAGAAGACAAAACGGAAACAATTTATCAAAGAAGTTGTTGCAATTGCTCACAGCAAGGACATCAACGCTCGCCAAATGTGACCTTACGTATTGCTACAAATGTGGTCAACGAATGTAACAACACGTAGCTGTAGAAATGCAATGGTGGCTAAAAGCATAATATTCGGAAACGCGCCAGCAGAGGAATACATGGACGAGGATTCCTCGTAGTGTATTTCGGCAACAAAAGTCACCAAATACTTAATGTCTTAGTAGCCTCCTTGAATTCCAC